CCAGTCGTTTTTGGATAATCTTCAGTAAAATCTTGCTTGCATGTGAAATCAGTGAGATTGTTCTGTAGTTTCCACATTCTGTTGGGTCACTTTTCTTTGGGATAGGAACAAATATCAATCTCTTCCAGTCAAAGGGAAGAAATCAAAATATGAAGGGGTTAAACAGAAGATTCCAGAGGGCAGCACAGGAAGACAAAGTAGTACAATGAAACGTGTAAGGAACTGGAGTCAGAAAATCAAAAAGGCCAAACTTGCTCAGCATTTCTCAAGTTGAAGGAACTGAAGAACAAATTCAAACCTCAAGTTGCAATCCTTAAGGATGCATTGGGCAGGATATTAAATGATCCAGGAAGCATTAAAAGAAGATGGAAAGAGTATACAGAGTCATTATACCAAAAGGAATTGGTGGACCCAAAAGAATTTCATGAAACAACTCATGAAAGTAGCAGTCAAGAAATCCAGTAATACCTTTGTTGTTATTATGTTCTGTCAAGTCACTTGCAACTCATAGTGACCCTATGTGCAATAACCCTGAAACCTTCTCTATCCTGTGCCAACTTAACTGTCTCCAACACACCTACCCTCATTACTCCAGCCACTGAATCAATCCATCTCATCAATAGTCTCCTCTTTTTTCATCCATCCATCCTTCCAAGCATGTCTCTCTCCAAGGACTGATCCCTCCTTGTAACATGCCCAAAGAATGTCAGATGAAGCCTCAGAATCCTTGCCTCCAAGGAGCAGCTTGGCTTCATCCTCTCTAGGACAAACCTGTTTGTTCTCATGGCAGTCCATGGTATATTCAACACTCTTTTCCAGCACTACAGCTCAAAGGCATCTATTCTCTTTCTATCATCCCTAGTCATTGTCCAGCTCTCTGACACATAGCAAGCAATTACGAAGACTATGGCCTGGATCAGGGACACCTTAGTCTCCAGACTGTTATCTGTGCTCTTCCAAACTCTGGAGAGATCGCTGACAGCCAACTTTCCCAATGCAATTTGTCTCTTGATTTCCTGGCTTCTGGTACCAAGAGTGTTGACTGTGGAGCCAGGCAAACTAAAGCTGTTAACAATCTCAGTCTCTTCATCATCCATCATGATGCTGCATTGGCCCAGTGGCGAGAATCTGCTGCCAAGGACCTCTTTCAAGAGCAAGGGTGTTACTATAAAGACTGTAGTAATGTTATTTTTTTCATCACCTCATATTGCATGTCAATATTTATGCATTCCATTTCTTCCTTAACAATATCTAATTTTCCTACATTCATGGTTCTCACATTCCATGTCCCAATCACCAGTGTCTGCTTACAACTGTTCCTCTTCCT